TGCGCCTCCCGCTGCCGCCGGGCTTTCGGTGGCTGACTTCCCTCCTTCAGAGAGCGCGGAGTCGGGCGCCTTTGTCAGCCCTGCCCCCCGCCGGGACTGTGCGGCTCTCCTCAGCCCCACAGCCGCAGCCTGTGACCGTCCCCTCATGGGGCTCGGCGCTGGCCACGGCCCCCAGGCCGTTCAGACGCGTAGTCAGATCTCTGCTAGGAGGCAAAGTGTTAGCCACGTGCTGCCCGGCGCCCAGCTGATGAGGAGGTGTTAAATAGTAAGCCGTCGGGTAAGGCAGCAGCTATGCCAGGCCGAGTCTCTGCTACCACGGCTGAACCGGATTGACAAATGAAAATCCATGTTCAGCGAGGTAATTGCTTGGAGGCAGTAGTGCTCGTTGGGTTTAATGAGGGTTATGTTTTCATTTCATTGCTAAACACTTAACTACGTTTCCCCCCAGAGCTTTTTACATCCCACCGTGAGCATTTTGCATCCCTAAGAGAAATACGGTGTGTAAATGACTGTTGTGTCCCAAGGAATCTTGGAGGATTTGGGGAGGGGAAGCGCAGCTGAAAAGCGCCCAGGAGCGGTGTGCAGGGCCCGGTTCTGCCCCTCGCTCTGAGGGTTGCTTGCAGGACAGTTCTGGGCAAGTCACTTGGAGCAGAGTGCGAGAAGTGGTGGTCGTTACTCTAAGGAGCTTGGGAGTTTGCACTGCGGACTGGTATGGAAGAGGAAAAGGATATAGGGTGCGGCCTGAGCAATCTGAGCCGCGGCCATGCCTTCACCATGCCGACCTTAATGGTGAAGCGTTGTTAATTTCTGTGTTAATAAAACTGTTAACACCCAGAACAGGAGGAGCGTGGCCTCCATGCCAAGTCTTTGTGGGAAGAGCAGTTTGGGAGTGGTGAAGCCTCTCTCCAAATAATCCAGCACAGTTGCATGGAAAGGCAAGGAGTCACGGGAATCAGTTTTTTTTCTACGATGCTTCTCCTTTCCATGCAGCCTAGCAAAGTTTTTGCTCCTGCTGCAAACCAGAGGGCACCTGCTGCATCTGGGCACTGAGATGTACTCTGGGGAAACCGCTTTACTTGCACCCATTTGGCATTTGTTTCTATGTTGTGAGAAGAGAAAACTGGTTTCGGTTCGTCACTGGAGCCTTCTTGGTAGCAGAGGTGGCTCTGGATTTCCCAAGGGGATGACTCAAGCAGCTTTTTATCATTTTGATACTCAGTGGCAAAGTCAGAGGGAAGAAATAGGCAAGGGAGAGATGGCTCATGCAAGCATGCTTTGGGGAAGAAGAGGTAGCAGGGGACAGCAGAGAAAGAAGTGAGGACTCGGCCATTAAAACAGAGTAAGTCCTGCTGATAACCAGCAGGAGCTGCAGCAGTATGTGAAAGCCTCAATCGTCATCCTTAGAGTCTGCGTACCTGTGAGAGCCTGTTTGTCATCTTCGTCTGATAGCAACAAATTGCTCAAAATTAGCCTCCTTTCTCCAGTAACCAAGGTTTCATGCTACATAACTTCTTTCAGTTCTTATATTGCCCAGCTGTAAACAGCATGCTATAATAAAAGTTAAGTAAATGATGCAGGAAATCTACTGTTGTGAACACTTTAACAATCGGATATCAAGGTAGTTTTATTGGCCTTACTAACCAGTTACTGGTTACTAGTAACTGGAATTAAAACTGCTCAGTTGTTCATTTACATGTGTATGCAGCAGGCAGTTAGTACGTTTGACAGTGTAAATGAGTAACTTAGAAAAAAAAAATCACAAAATAGTGTCTGAGTGGGATTGTCTTCCCAAATTACTCATTTGTATAAGTATTTTTCTATGAAAAGTTCCTGGTTTGCCTAAATCATTTTCTTTTGTTTAGAGCAGTCATAAATTAGAAACATCAGTTAACAGATGGTAAAATGCATAACGTGTGAAGTGGAAAAAAAAAAAGCCAGCAACGCTAAGACTTTGCCCTTTTAATATATTTAATCTGAAAATCTCAGAAGATTGTATAAGAATTCCTGTCAAGTGACTGCAATCCTTAACTGAGTGAGGCAATTCAGGTATTGAGATGTTAAGAGATTTATCCAAGGTCACGAAGACAATCTGTGTCAGCCACAAGAAGTGACTGTAAACATTTTAAGTTCTTGGGGCAAGGACGATATCTTACCCTGCATGGATTGCATAGCCTAGTGGAGCGCTTATCTTAGTTGAAGTCTGTAAGCTTTACTATAGTGAAACGAAAAAATAAAATTCTGTTGAGTAATACGGAAGTCATAACTAAAAGTCAAATAAAACAAACTGCTAATAGAATGAATAACTGCCTCTGTGGCTGATAAGTCACATTTTTCATGCAGAAACAGTACATGTTTCTGAGTTTTCGATGAGTGGGAAAATGTTCTAGGTGGCTTGTTAAATTTTAGTGATGTTTCTGGTAAGAAAAATTGGCCCCATACAAGGAAAAAGGGATTAGTGAAACCAAGAAAAGAACAGATAAGTTATGTCAGCATCCTCAAGGCTAATTTATTCTTGCTTTTTTTACCTATGCCTTTGTTGTAAATCACGGGTATACCCATTAACATCTCAGACAGAACTGGAAAATTAAAGCCAACAGAAGCATATTTGCTGAGTTGCTTTGCAGGGTATGTGATCCAAGCGTCAGAGTGATACAGCAGGTTCCCTTCTCTTAGCCCAAGCTTGGTTTCGCCTGTCTGTAAGTGGGTCATTGCTCCAAATGCTGCAGTGCAGAAGAGTCCCACTCCCACAGCCACGACAGACCCCTCATCTCCATGCAAAAGGCAGAGAGCTACCATGGGTGAGAGGGTGTATCACTTCTGAGCGCCATGCCTGTCTCTGTACAGGAGTTCCTCGGAGTAGTGCAGCCATGTGGGCACTGTACTTGATGAAGGGAATAGCAGTAATTTTCCCTCTTTCAGGAATTGTATGAGACCAGGAACTAGAAACAAGGATGGGCCTGGCTGTGCGGAGGAGCAGAGAAGAATAAGACCTGGAGAACAGATCCAGTGCAGCTTTCGGAGGGACAGAATGCACAGAGCGGGGTGATGGCCCCTTTTCACCTTTGGGTGAGCTGCGTCTCACGTGAGTAAGTCAATATTCAACAGCACATACTTTTGCTGTTTGAGCCCTACTGCACTGAGGCGTTAGATGCTATATGTTCTGGGTAAATTAAGAGGTTCCTTCCCTCATTTTGTTGTCCTGCCCCTGCCACCTCAGTGGCCTCCCTGTGTTTGTATTTTGGAGACTTGGAGCTTTTGTATGTTTTGTATTGCTCTGAACCAGCCTCTTCTTTGCCTTAGTGCTGCTGTCTCTGCCCTGTCTCCAGCCCACGTTCAGTCATGTCTGTTTACAGATAGTTGGGTGGGTCTCTCACACTGCACAGAACTGTTCCTTGCCTTCTCATTGCATGTGCTAGCTGCTGTGAGGAGAACTGAAAAGCCCTTTCTTTTACTTGCTCGACGCTGTGCTAAATGCACTCCAGGCCTCTTTCTGAGAATGACTGAGCTCTAGTAGGGGTAGGGAGCAGTTAATAAACTGCCCTTGGAGAGTTTTCTCCACCAAGGAAAGGAAAAAAAAAATTCCATGGCTGCTACTGTAAGGAGCGGGGGAAGCACAGCCAGCAAGTGGAGGAGCTTCAAAGAAAGCAAATTAGAGCAAAGGCAATGGAGCCCAGCAGAGCTAAGGCAAAGGTAGTCACTGCACCGTGGCCTGGAGTCTTATGGCCATACCTTAAACATAAGTAGCCTTTGGCAACTGAGTCAGTAAACCAGAGCTTGGAAAAGTCAATCCCAGTTAGGCCTTTTCCTGATAGCTCTCTTCTGGACCCAGCCATTTGATTTTTCCTGTGTTTTCGAAGGCTGTGGAGGAGGTCTGGATGCCCAATTCTTGTTCATCTCAGGAAATCTGTTCTATAGGGTATCCAGATCTCCTAGCCGGATCTAACGCTCTAAATACATTAACCAGGAGGTAAAAGCAGCCTAACAGATCGTGCTAGCTTTTCTGAAGGGCAGTCTGCTACGAGGAAAAAAAAAAATTAAATTACAATTTAATAGTTCAGTGGGAGTTTCTTTAGCACGTTGCTAGACTTACTCTTTCCTATTTATAGCCCTATCATTTGAATATCCCCAGGGAGACAATCATCAGACTTTTCTTCATTATTGCTTTGAAGAACAAACCTGTACTTGTTTTAACAAGTCACATCACAGGAGACGTTATTCTACACTCTCCACCCACACAACCCTGGGATTTATTTTCATTTGAGGACTCGTTAAACATACCAGCAGTCAACCGAAGAAACCAACGTTGCAAGGCACATAGGATTCACCACCTATAAATCATGAACTTTACTTGTGGGAAAGGAACGTACTTGCTTTGAAATGGAATGGTCACTAGTACTCTTCATGGCTACAAGAGCTTGGCTTTAGCTTTTAGTTCTGTGACTCTGAGTGACTAATCATAGTGCCATTACATCCGTTTAAGTTCACGTGCTTTCTCTCTACCTTTCCTATACAGATGAGTCTAAGAAAAAATAAAGAAAATAAAAAGCAAAAGCGTTTGATAGCCACTCAAGTGGCAAACGTGCAGTAGAATTCAGTCCTACGGTAGGACCAAATTTCACCTCATATTACATATTACGAGTGTTTTTATCTGGAGCAGCAGTTAACCCACAACAACATTTGGTCACGTTAACAGATGGTTCCAAGCCATTCTGGGATTAGCCAGCAAAGACTAGGACGTTTTTCCTCTCACCCCTGCTTCCTCACAGCAACTTATTGTGAAAGACAGGCTAGCTATTTCCCTTATCATCTGATGCATTTTCTTAGGCCAGTTGCCCACAGCTAGGAAGCAGACTGGGATGAGGCTAATCCTAGCAGTGACATTGAACGTCTGAGGCATCAAATGCATCATAATATTTGTGCCATACTTTCCCCTAGCAATAGCATTCCACCTGCCTCAGAAAAGGGCTTTTGGCTTTAATGTTGTGACTATTTCTTTGCAGTTTTTTCAGTGTGTATAAGGAAGTCTCACATTTTCATCAAAATTATTTTCATCTGACCCACCCACGTATGAGCTTTGCCTTTGTCTCACTTGGGTGCAGCAAGCCTCTGTATTTTCCAATTATCTGGACTAATACTGTGGTTACTGTAGAGAGCAGGAAAAGTCTGCTTTATCTGGGGAGGAAGTGCAGATCTTGCCTTCTTTTGGCTAGGTACCAAACAAGAAAATCCAAAAGCCTCCCCTCAAAAATAGTTTCAGAAACTGCTACTCTTCCATTCATACAATCCCTGTCTACTGGCAAGAGAAATGTTAACAGTGAATCAGCTGGTCCCTGTTTCAAGGGCGTATACATATGTACATACATACGTACGTGTGTGTGTGTATGTATTTTCAACTGAGCAGGCCCAGTAGTGTTTAGTATGCAGAAACAATAAGATGTCTCAGAAGAAGTCAGTGCAGTCTCACTTTAATGTGTTTTTACATCTTTTTAGGATTCACAAAGCCAGAATATAAGTACTTACACATTTTAAATAGGAAAGTAATATATTCCCTAAAAGAAAAATAATTTGATTAATCAAGTTTGTCATAAAAGTGGCCTCTGATAGTTGAAACTTCAAGCTTCTAAGCTAAAAAAGCCCAAATAGACAAATTATACTGAAATCTTCTTTAAAGACCAAGCAGCTGTTTTATTAAAATATTAAATTTACATTTTAAAAAGAAATATTCTGATTATTTCAATTATGATAATCTTATGGAAGTGACATGAAATTCATGACAATAGGCATTATTCTGCCTTTGGATAACTGCGTACAGAATTTGGCCAATCAAGCTTTGCCATTATCTAGAAATGTGCAAGATCACATACAGAGAAAAAAACATTGTGGAAAGACAAATCCAAGATACTGGATTTCAACTTGATTCTGATTTTTCCCAGAGACAGCAGGTTTTCACGTCTGGGACTAGGATGGGATCCAAAGCCTGCTGTGATGAGGCCCTTGGTTTAGACCCAAAGAACCAATCCAAATCTTACTGTTCCAAGAAACAGAAAAAGGATTTGAGAAAATACCAACTTTATCCCAGAACACAACAAGTGAATGACCTTCAAACAACTTGGAGCAGGTTGAATTTACATTTTACTTCAAAAAAAAAAAAAAAAAAAAAAAGGAAAGTACATACATGAGGGGAAAAATGGGGTGAACAACAATTATCTGAGTTTTCTACCGTATTCACCTACAGTTACCAACTGCGTTTGAATCAGCAGGGCTCTTGCCAGCTGTCGCACACTTGCTTACAATATGAACAGGATTGTGTATCAAGGAAACATTTTCAAAGTTGAGGCCCAAATGGAAATAGTAAGATATCATACACAGTGTAAGTTTATAATACACAGCTTTTTTTTTTTTAAATGACATAATGCAACAGCAGGAAGGAGAAGTAGTAGTTAACAGTTACTAACACTAGAATAATCAAATTTGTATGTTATACATATACAGCAACTAACTGCTTTACAAAAAAGCAAAATAATACAATATATTGTCACATGTATTTACAGTGTAGTAAATATACTTTTCTGTCAAATTTTACACAAAAAGTATTTACAGGTGAATATACTGCATTAAAAAAAATTGTGGGACCAACACTAAAAGTGACTTTCTGTGGTAAGTTTGTTGCATAACAATAAGACGTGCTTCATTACATTTGAAAAAAAAAAAAATTAACCTTAGAATGAAACAGAAAAAGCCCTAAAACCTACAACCCAGTTAGGAATAGAGCACTGGAACGCTCCTAAATGCTCAGTCCACGATACTTATTTGAAATGTTTCCTGTTCTTGGAAACCTCATGCACATTAAAGCAGAAACATTGGCATAATTAACAGGTAGGTTATGCACTATTCAAATACTATTGAATTATCTTTAAGTCAGGGAAAATACAAACACAAACAAAACGTTAATCATCTTTACAGTACTTTAACTGTAGTTAGTGCGTAATGGATAACACGGTCTAAAACAGGTTCTAAAACAGGGGTGTCAAACATACAGTCCCCATGATGTATTTATATGGTCCACATGTTAAAAATCAGATTTTTCTGAATCTAAGTTTTCATTTCAAAATGCACAGATTCCATGGCTGCAGAGCTAATCTTCAAAAAGTGACTAGAGTAACCACTGCAATAATGAGTGTCCTAGTCTGCCCTAGCCTGCCTCAGCCTGCCTGCAACAATGACTCGAAGCTCTGAACTCTTATGTCTCCTGTTTGTTAGCTCAGATTTCAAGCCCATTGATCCTGAAGCATTATCACCAGCAACTAACTGCTGATTACTACACAAATGGAGTACCAGGATGAGGAGAGAACCAAAGCAGACTGGACTGGGAATGGAGAGTGGTGCTCACAGGAACGAAACAAGAGAAGGATAGAGAAGATTCAAAGCAGGAAAAGGTAACAAATGAAGGAGAATGTGAGAAAGAAAACAAAAAAGGCAAAATAATAGCTAATAATAGGCTATTATATGGGGCAGGCTTTCTGAGTGAAGAATGTGACTGTAAGGCACTGAACAGCCAATTACTAATAAAAGTTTAGTCATTAAAGAAAGGCCATGTTTTTTCCCTTTAAGAACAAGCTTCCTAACTACTGATACTGGAGATTACCTTGCTCTGGGTAGTTGAGCGTACATGGTCCTGAATATAAACCTTGGCCACAGGCTGTTTATTACACACAAAATTCAGCTCTCTTCTCCTAATGTGTTTGACACCCCTGCTCTAAAAAGTTCAGGTCCTCTCACTGAACCATGCAGTGAAAACAGTAAATGACACCCTTCCCCCCCCGCCCCTTCCAAGCAATAGAAAAAATGAGTTTTGTTGACTTGCTTTATGAAGGTATCAGCTTTGGTCAGCTAGGACTGAGAGCTTGGAGTAGTTCTAGTTATCACATGAAAGAATGTTAATCGCTGTCTGTTTTGCTTTCACATTACACATTTCAAAGAACTTATTAATTTCAATTTGGGGACATCTTTATAATTTTATAGAGGTAATCCAAAATATTGAAAAATATTGAGATGCACTCAGTCCAAACAAAACTGATTGGGTAGTTAATCTGAATTTATTTATTAAGAAAATCTGCTCATAGGTTTTAGTTATTTGCTTCTCCTATCTTTTTCTAACAGCAAATTACCTTTATGGGAGGTTCTTTTTTAAACTTCCTGTCGACAGTGAGAACAAATTTTCAGACTTCTACAATTCACTGTCTTAAGCAAAACTGAAAGGGCTGGAATTAGCTTGATTCAATATGATCAAGTGCAAACTGACAATGATATTAGAATTGGCTATTACACAGCTGATGAATGGGATGAGAAGGGTTTCTAAATCAGCGACTCCTAAAGTTATAAATGCATAGCAGCTTAGAACATGGCACGAGTCACTGCTCTATTCCTAAATTCAGTTCTAGCCTCATAATCTATTTCATAGATTTGTAGCAATTGAGTAACCACATTTCTACCGCAGTTCCTGCACAATCAAGAATAAAAAAGTTTGTTTAATTGCACAAGTCTTCATATTTTCCAATATACCTATTTCAAGATTAATTTTAAGTTTTCCTCTTGTTTTGGCAAACTATTTGCATATTAAGTTTGTGTTCATAGTTTTTCCAGGACTGTAAACAAATTAAAAAAAATTAAATTGTTATTTTATGAATCAATACAGTAAAGGCATTTTTTATTTACATAAACATGTTACATTGTTACTATGTGGATAAATGTGAATTATGTGCTATATCAATAAAATCTGAACACTTAATTGTACCATTCTCTAAATAATTTAGCTGTGGAGTTTGATTTACTGAAAGCCACTAATAAAATTGCACTGTAGGATTTTTTTTTTATTTATATAGTGGATAAACTTTTTTCCTTTAAAGCCACTTAAGGAGTGTTAATTTCTACCATACAACAGGGATCTGAAACTAGGAAGTTTAACTGTTCTTTAGCAGTAGATACACTTAGCCCTAAAATGAGCACCCAGATGACAGGCCCTTTTGTCAGAATTTATATTTATCTCTGAGATTAAATGTTCTGCACATTTTTAGTCCATAAAGGTAGTATCTGCAGCACGTAGTGCTACATCTTTACATGTCATTCAACATAGCAGCATATTATCACAGTCATCCATTGTTAATATACTACTGTAGTTGACAAGTCTTTCACAGTGATAGCAATTTCAGTTTCTTATAACCCCCAAACATTAACCCTTGCAAACTAAAACCCCTTGAAAGTTCTGCAAGATAGATTTGACTGCAATTGTCTATACTGATACCAGAAATTGCACTGCAAACATTCAAACGTAACCTGGATTTGACAAAAGTGTCAGTTATCTTGAAATTCATGTACCTTAAGTGAAGATTACTGTTTTTAGATCATTGCTTGGGCAGCACAGAAGCAGCTTTGCCAAACACAGAATCACAGAATGGCCAAGGTTGGAAGGGACCTCGGAGATCATCTAGTCCAACCCCCCTGCTCAAGCAGGGTCCTCTAGAGCACATTGCCCAGGATCACATCCAGGCGGGTTTTGAATATCTCCAGCGAAGGAGACTCCACTACCTCTCTGGGCAGCCTGTTGCAGTGCTCTGTCACCCTCACAGGGAAGAAGTTTTTCCTCATGTTCAGATGGAACTTCCTGTGTTTCAGTTTGTGCCCGTTGCCTCTTGTCCTGTCGCTGGGCAACACTGAAAAGAGTTCTCCCAGAGTTGGAAGTTACTTCACAAAATTTCCCCCTCCCTACCCCAATAGTTATTCTGCCAGGAATTTCTTGAAGGTGCATATTGTAGGGAAGGGTAAAACTAAAGTGTATGCTAAATGGAAGAAAGAAGCAATAAATTTTCAACACTGCTACAATAACAGTAGAGTCAGTTCTTGATGATTTTCTTTCCACTATACAACCTTTTTTAGTGCAGTTAAAAGTACAGCAAAAAATCAAATTTGCTTTGGAAAAAAGCCAGTTTGTCCAGTCTGGTCCATATACAGTCCAAGTATGTGAAGCTATGGTGTGGGGAATGAAGAGACTCACGTGGCCTCCTTGTCCTCTTAAATTTATTGCTAATTACTGGCAACTTAATCTAATCAACCATTTCTGGTTAAGCTCATTGTACTGCGGCTATCATAAGTTTAAGTATGGTAAAAAAAAGTCCACAGCTAAAAATCTTACAGGTTTGAATTAAAACCAGGATTATAACAACTTCCCCTGGCTCATAAAGCCACTACCTTGAAAGGTGTGCAAACAGGATTAAGTATTAACACTTTCCTTTACAGAAGAAACAAACAAGGCATAAAACAGACGCAGGGTAGAACTGTCTACAAGAAATGGCTTTCGTATTTGGACATGATACGGTACTGCAGCGTTCCAGAACTCCTCGCTTTCCTCGGCTACAAGGTCCGTCAGCACCTAGAAACTGTTCTGTCGATGGTTCTGAAACACTGGCTCAAATCAAACAGAAGAAAAGAAAAGAAGGCATTAAAATTCAGGCAATGTTTCAAGAGTTGATCATCTGGCAACATGGCTGACAGGATGGGAACATTAAAAATTAAGTGCAGCATCACGACTGGTGGAGGGCCCTTTGCAAAAGCCCGCATGTCAGTCAGTCTCCAAAAAGAAAAAAAAAAAAGAAAGAAAGAAAGAAAGAAAAGCTTCACACAATCTTTTTAATGCTATGACGTTTGAAACTGCCGGCGCTTCGCTGCTTTTGCACTTGGCTTGCGGAGCCGTGGCGCATCCTCCCGCTGTTGGAGTGTCCGGTGGTGGGCGAGAGCTCCACGTTCTCCTTGTCAATCCCTGAGGGAACACACAGAGCAGAGCGTCACCGGCCACCCTGGCCCGGCCTGGCACCCCACGCCCGGCTCTTCCCGCCCGGCCCGGCCCCTGTGGCAGCACGACCACGGAGGTGCTGCCGACTCTGCAGCAGGGTAACGCCTAGGGAATAAACCACCCGGAAGAAGAGGCGGGGGTGCATACATGGCAATATTTACAAGCGGCTGCTCAGAAACACAATGTGTCCTAACGCGACTGTCACTAATGCGGCCCTGTCCTGGAAGGTGGTTCAGAGGTGTCCTTGTAACTGGCGTATACAATGGCAGCTCTCCTAAAATTATGAGTTGCACGTATTTTTAAAATAAGATGCCAGACAAAATCTCTGTTGATGTCTCACAAATGAAACGTGTGGTACAGCTATTTTGCCTGTGTAATATGAAAAATCACTTTTTTAAGGGTCAGAGGTGTGAGCCTGTATTGGGTGGAAGCACAGATCTTGAGGAGAGGAAACACATCCAGGTGCCCATCTGTGATCCATACGCATCCACACGCCTGAGGATCTGTGCACTTGTCTGCACATAACTTACCAAATTTCATCATGACTTATTAAAATAACTTCTGTAACAAAACTGCTGATCGAATTTGATGTTAGTTTAATTTGCATCCAAGATTAAAAGACAAAATAATTTGGTTTATGGGCACTGGCTGACATTTGAATCCACAACACTTTCCCATGACAGATGAAAATATATAGGGGTATGAACTGTTTACTCAATTCATCTAGTCACCTCCTAAACAGATAACAAAAACTTTATTTGATATAGGAAACAGCATATGCATTTGTGAATAAAAAGGGGATAGCCAATATGACTTAGATGGATGACCTATGGAGACATGCTGAGTGGCTTTGTGCTTGGAACATTGCTAAATTTTATTTTCAGAATGTATTTTTTTTTTTTTTTTTAAGATTCTGTAAAGGGGGATTATCTGTTTACTTCAGCCAATGTACATTAAGGATCTGAAGATATATTTACCTCTTCCATCTTTCCTTTTTTTGTTAGTTTTTCCTACAGTCTCAGTTTAGCAGCACCATTAAAATTAAGTGCTAACAATACCATATTCGCAGGGGTTCCAGCTATTCCAAATCGCATTGTATTACTGCCTGACACACAGGGCCATCTGGAGAGAAATGTGTATGTTTAAGATGAATATTTAACTATTTTCCAAAAAAAATTTTCTGCTCTGAAAAACGCTGAGGAATGTCACGTTCTCTTGCTCATACCACGTTTAGTACACCTTTCACCAAAATGTAAAAGCAGCTAATACACAAACATTTTTGGAAATAGTTGCTAAGCACATGCAGACCGGTTTGTTTGAACTTCTCATCTATCGCGTGTTCCACGGCACATCCTGGGCCACAAATCCCATGCGCTGACTAGAGCCGTGGGATTATGCCTGCAGTTGAATCATACTGTTCAGTTAATATATACATATTGCCACTATAAATGAATAACATTAATATACATAATAACAGGAAAAAAAAATCACTCAAAATATGACAGGAACTGCCCTAGTAACACATGGGCCAGTGAGATTCAGGGGTCTCCAATTTACGAGGTGGGTGGGAGCCTTCAGCTTTGGCAGCTGCTGTGGCACCTCTGCAGCTGACAGCAGCATCAGCGCCCGTCCCCATGGACGCGGGCTCCTCGCTCACAGGCGCTCATGCCAAAACGCTCTTGGCAGAATCTACATGGGTACAAGAAAATAAAATACTCTCGCCATTATCCTAAAACGCAGTACTTCTGAATTACAAGCAAGGCAACACTAGGAACAAAGCTTGGACAAAATTTGCATTATCACTTTTCTAGCCTGCTCTTTGATAGCACCTTTTGTGAAAAAGGGTTTCTCAGCCAGCCAAGAAAGTCTTGTTCTATAAACTGCTAAGAAATAACCAGAGATCTGTACTGAGCAGTCTATAAAGTTACAGCACATTTGAACAAAGGGCACAGATGTTCACAGTCGAACTCCAGGCACCCACGGGGGGAAGCCCATCTCTGAACAGCAGGTGGAAAGAGAGCACTACTGGGCGGCCAGGAGCTCAGCAGAGGCACCTAACTTTGATGACCTGACCTGTCTTTGGAGGAGACCCCTCCCCTCCCTTCCAATAGATACTATCACTGCAGAGCCCTTACAGTCACAGGTTCTTGCCCTAACAAGGCATCAACAATCAGAGAGGGTGAAACGTTGCTGTCAGGATCCACTTCTTGTTTCCAGTTGAGCTACACGTGTAATTACAACCATATGCAACAACAATGCAAGAGTTTGATTTAACTCCTCTCAGAGCCCAAGCTGTGCTGGGATATTAGCACATTTGGTTTGGCCTGGGGACGACCCTCTGGCTTAAGGCCTGCAGATGACTGGCTATAGGAGATAAATGTTAACCCAGTAGATACAGGGTTTCCCTCCATCCTCAAAACATTCACACCAGTATCTGTACTCAGAGATCACTGAAAACACTGAATGAAAGTCTCTCTCCCAGAGCCCTGTTTGGCTCTAGTTTTGAGAGCATCCACTGAACAAACTAAAAAGTTGAATTCAAGTCTCTTCTGCCCTTTGCATTCCTTGAGAGGGAGAACTGACAGACTGAACATCTGCCTAAACTACAGGCTTCTTCCAGGCAAAAACGTGTGGCTGGCATTAAACAGGGGGATGGCTGTGCAAGGAAGGCTCCTGCTCGAACCTGCAGAATTTTGTTTTGACGGCAGAAGCCGATTCTTGCCATCAGAGAAGATTTTTGGTATACAAGTACCAACTCCCCCTCAATACTGAAATCCCTGCTCACAAACAGAAAGGTCAGAACAAGTACATAATATACAAGTCAATAATACTGAGAGGACTCTGCCTCGCTGCTAGCAGGAACAGGAAATGAAAGGTTTGTTTTACATACATCAGAAGCAGGACTGATGCAGGCTATCACTTGAAGAGTTAAATGTCAAAGTGTAGACACCAACTACAATGATTGAAATCCTGGCAAATCAAGATTAAAAAAAGGATCAACAATTAAATTTTAACAAGGAGAATTACAGAAACTGTTTTCTAAGGCTGTTAACAGGAAACATGCACAGAACGGCCGAGTCTGGAAATCTTTACAAGAACTGCCCTCGCACAGGCACAGCTCCACCAAACAGAGGCAGGAGGAGGCTCGTAGAGCGCAAGGCGAGGATGAAACCAGACAGCATTTATACCCAGGCGTACGCACCTTCCTAAGAAGCATGAGATGTTCCCTGCAGGACAAGGTAACTGTTAGTAGGGTGTGCTAAAAGAATCACAGCAAACAACCCTCAAAAGTGAACTGCGTTTGTGTAAACTTCACACTGGCATGACGACAACACGTGAAGGCTTTGGGTTACAACATCTTAGGGCACGGCCAGTCATTTGAAGATATACAAGCTGAAACTTCTGTTTAACGCAGATGTGCTTCCAGTCGTTACTTTTATACTGATGCCACTTGGACGTAATCGCTCCTGTACCACTGCCTCAGAGAAACAGAGCTTCTGCCACGTTACTTCTGCAACAAAACGAGTATATTCGCTGCAGGCTTATTAACACTCTCCCTGCTTATGTAAATGTGCGGCACTGGAGTGAACAGCGTAAGGAAAAATATTTTACTGGGAGAGGCTAAGAGCATAATCAACAGCAAAATTTAGGATGTATAACAGTGAATAAAGAGGTTTAGGCAAAATCCTACTATATCTCCCACAGATTTTTGTCTCATTCATATAAGAAATTCATTCTCATTTGCATCAGTAAGAACAGGGAATACTCTTTACTGTTTCACACAGTTACAGGGACAGTTTCTAAACTGCAGCCGGAAGCTGGCTCTGGGCTACGTTGTCCTTCCCCTCCCTGTGAGGGTGTGAGCTTACAAAACCCCAGCTACGAGGAGAAGAGGAAGCAACCCACAGGCGGGAGCAACAAAAGGCTTCTGCAGCTTTTTCTGACATCTCCATATAGAAGCAGAAATCAAATGACGATGATGAATATCCATGTTTTTGAGCCTCCATCTGCTACAATTTAGTCCAACAAACTCACATGTCTGCGTTCTGCTGGTGCCTGACAGATGTTAAAGCTGACTTCTTATGAACCAAAAGAGCTCAGATGAAATAAATTCTATGCTTTAGCTTAATACTTGCAGCAGAAAAACTTCCTATACCAAACTGCCCATTCTCTATTACCATATTTTTCTTATTCTTAAGGATGCGACTTTCTTTGCCTGCTATATCGTCACATATTAACATTAGCATCACACAAGAGATGCAACAGCTTAGCACGTATACTGAAGCCATTCCCGTGTTTAAAGGATTAATAAATTACTTCTCATGCCACAAGCCCAACCCTAAAGCAGATCAAGCAGAATCTCGTGCAAATATGATGAAAACAGAGTGTACCTTGATGAGGAAGCTGCATGAAAACTGCAGATTTAGAGCAAGGCAGAGAAGCTTCACAGACACAGAATGAGAGAAAAAAATGTAAGTGAATAATGTCCATGACAAGGGGAAGGGGAGGGAGGGGAGAAGAGATGACGACAGACAAAACATTTGTAAACAATGATTTTGCCTAGTTCTGTATCCGGAAGCAAGAAGTGGATTTTTTCCACATATCTGCAACTTTATATATTTGTTACCATAATAATAAAAAAAGAACTCACTTGGATGAAACTGTTTCTTTACCTCAATGTGCTAAAATAACTCAGCACTGCTAAACACTTGATTTGCTTGTTCAGTGGTTCTCAGATCAGAGTAAGTGGATCACCCGCCTGCAGCCCTTGCTAGTAACCGCAGCTGCCTCGCTCTTTCAAGAAACCTGTGATTCGCCTTTACTTCATGTTCTACAACTCTTTCAGTGATAATTTTTTTTCTTGGTAGATTGTTGGGCTTTCACTACTTAAGCTCTCACTCTTGTCAATACAGAGAGGAAAGACCAGGCAAGCGTGCGCAGCAATGATAATGCCACCATATCACTAGGCACAATACAAAGTGGCCAGAGAAGACTGATTAAATTTTTAATACAATTACACAGCTTAAAAAGCAAAGTTTGTTCTATGCAAAATTGTACTGGCTAATATGACAGCTTAAACTAGTGAAAACTGTATGTTGACTAAAGCCAAACAACGTAGTGACAGTGGGATGGAAGTGCCAAATGCAAAGCTCCTTCTTGTAGCCTGGTCCACAGTTTGAGAAAGCTGGAGAGCCCTGAGCGAATCTCCAATCTTCTTTCTGTTCAGACTGCTAGAATGAGGTGAGGACACTCAAGGAATTAAGCGAGACACTAATAAGCAATAAGAGATAAAGGGAAAATGCCACTTAGATTAAGCATTCAGCACTGGCTTTCCTAAAGTAGCAACCACTTCAGGCTGCGTCACGTTTAGATACACAGCGTGAAACAGCGACGACGGCTCATCGTTGCGCAGCTGCCTTCAGAAGACCTGTCTTGGTAAAGACACCTTCAGCTTGGTTATACAAAAATGGAATCATTAGTAATTTTTTGCCTATATGCAATTTACAGTGTATATCTGTTTTCTTAATAGATGACTAAGTCAAATGGGATACTTCATTATGCACTTTAAATGTTAAGAAATAAGTTTTAAAAGATTTAAACGCATCTCCTGCATCAAATAATTATCTGCCAAAATTCTTATCAGTGAGGTTTCAGAGGAATAAGCTCCACATATAAGTTTAATAAAAGTACTTAAAGAGAAATAACATCTAATAATTTAAAATATTAGCCTGTAAAATAACGCACAGTCAAAAGTGACAAACCTGCAAACCTGCTTTCTAGATTTTAGAGGAATTCAAGTCTATCCAAATAAGCAGTTTTCATAGGCTGAAACTTTTGAAAAAAAATCCCACATCTAGAAAGACAGGTGCTAAGATTATTTGGAAATTATGCCTGCTTGTTAATCAACAGCTAAATACACTTCCTTCTTTCATATGAACGTCTTGTGATAACAAAGTCTTCCCTTCCTAATCACCTGGCCTTTGTAACGGTCTTTTAAATTTATGTTTCCATTCAGTATATGCCTGCAGCGGCATGAAGGCGTTATTACAGATCCACGAATATCCTGAATCATTTAGCAAGGTCACTAGCTCTCCTCTGTTTCCCGAGATGGGACTTTTGATCAGCACTTGATAAAGTGGGGCTGTCCGTGGAGTATTTGCAAGACATTTTCAACGAGCTGTCTTAATTCCTTCCTCTTGGCTAAACAAAGGAGGAAGGAATAGAAAGTGAAGGAGGAAAAAAAGCCACTTGCACAGCATGCTTGTTTTCTCCAGGAGGGGGCCTCATCCTGCAGCATCACTTCATCCTTGGGAAAAGCTGTCAGAGCTGCCACAGATGCTACATGCACAATGGAAAGATAGATGCCCATAATGTACTTATTCTCACACTGACAGCAGGCGCTACTTTATTTTCTTCTCTTTTCTATTTTTTAAAACTCTTTAATTTTATCTACCCCTTTGTTCTAATATCACAGACAATTTTTAGCTGTACAATGAGTTGAGAAAATTTCATTTAAACCACTTTTTTTAATATATAACCTTGGATCTTATCTGTACCTGCACTCTATTAGGGGTAGTTGTTACAGAAATATTTCTACATACTGCCACTCAAAAATATAACGAGATTGCTATAATTAAATTGCAACTACTTGCAACTGCTGCTTTATCGCATCACTGACAAACATTTACTGAATGACTACAAAAGCTAACGTCACTTTTAAAATACATCGGTAAAAAAGGCTATGTAACAAGAAAAATCGAATTCCTGTTATATACCTATTTATAACAAATAATTGATGTTGTAAAATGTTAAATAAAATAGCAATCTTTAAAACTTATTCAAACTCATTTTTCACCTGTTCTTACTGCTCAAATACAATGGGATACTTAAATGCAGCCAGTAAGCCTGTTTCAGGCCAAAAT